AGGGAGAAGGATTTGCTCACATTGGAAGTGTTTATGGTTGAGAAGTCAGAGTGGAATTGATATGGTGCAGAATTTCACCTTTTTTCTGCTGTTCTGTGTACACTTATGGTAAATCAATCAAACCTTTCATTAGAAACAACAGGGGGAATGGTTTGGAGCAGCTTTGTCTGATGAATAAGTAAAAGTAAAGTTTTAAGTTTGAAACAATTAATTAAGGATCATCAGCCAAGATAGAAAACAATGTGTAAATCATGTTTATTGGGCTCGTCGCTGGAGAATAGAAGCTTTAGTTAATCTTGTTCACAGGACATTACTGTGGTCAAAACTTTTCACTTTGTGATCACATTTTTATAATCTTCTGTCCTGCTTCAGAAAGTTGACACTCTGTCAACAGTGTGCTTACAACTTATTTACAGTGTAGGGCCTGCACCGTCTTTTGAAAAGAATCTGAATTTTTCATGTTAAGACAGAACAACTGTCCTGATAGAGTTCAGTCTGTGCCCTCTCTCTGTTCCCATGTTATCTCAACGAGTATAAGAGTCTCAACCTTGTAGCAGCACCATTCAGGGTTTTGTCCTGGCTCCCCTTTTATTCTTACTTTGTACCAAGTCAAGAGGCTCTGTTATTCACTTCAATGCTTTTCTTATCAGTTTTGCAGAAGATGCCCGTCTGGCCTCTTCTTCATCACTGACTGCTGAGTACTGTCAACTAATGAAGGACAGGAGATGTAGCTTGTAAACTCTGAGATTAAGAAGTGAGCCAAGCATTTTACAAAACGATTGTTTTTGAAATTCAGTGGGACATGAACATTTAAAGCTCCTGTGAAGAACTTTTAGCTGAATAGCTTTTGGACCCCCTGTTGATAAAACGGTAGATCTTATCTATATACTAATCTTGTCCTGGACATTCATAGGTCATGTTTTTTAAACCAAAAAATACTCACCCTGCTTCATTTTCACTGTTAAATATATAAAAGTGTAAAAAAAGCTGTTAACAACCTTGTTGATACCTTTCTGTGGCAATTGTTTCATACATAATCTATTCACAGATTGATCCATATGCTTTTAAAGGTAATAAAGAGTCTGCTGTAAGGCTGTGTTTTCTTTCAGTTTATCTAGTCTAGTTGTTTTATTGGATCACCCGGGACTTTTGTTTTTGCCCTTTTGTGCTATTTTTGGTTAATAAATCAATTGCCTCCTGACATCTTTTTACTCACCACCAGCGCAGAACAGCCCCACTTAAATACCAATTTCAATGTTGACTTACAATCAGTAATGTTACATGAACCACTTAATGAGTCTATATTCAGACAAATGTTGAGTGTTTGGGTTCAAGCAAAGTGGTATGGAGTTGTAAAAAGAAATCCGGACAGTTCAGAGATGATCAGCAGTCCGATGGCCTTATTCTGTAGTTTTGAAGTTTTTTGCTCAAAGGCAATAGCAGAATGATTTTCCTATATTTGCGAGGACATCTTGACTCCAGCACTCAGCTGCTACAGGACTCAGTGTCAGGACCACCTGTACCAAACCAGCAGTGATTTCTACTCTATTATTCCATTAACTTCTATTTCTGTTCCCACATGGTTCTCACGTCTCCACCTGCTGAGGTCGATACAAACACTCCTGGCAGGCTATTGGTTTCACCTGTCACATTGTATTAATCCACCAGGAACAAAGCAGGAAGTTATAACGGGCCATTTGGATGCAACCCAATGTTTCTCTGCCTCTGTATTTGTCCTTTTGTCTTGACCTCTGGTTTTCCCACGATTGTTCAGCCACAGGAAACTCAGCCTGTCTGAATATGAAGGAGCTGACCATCTGTAGACACACACACTCACGCAGGCACATACACACACATGAAAATCGTCACACACACAGTGTGTGCAGTCGTGGTTGGTTATTAGGAAGTCTGTTGTTTCAGAAATGTAGAAGCAACATAAAGTAGCATCAAATCTACCAAAACCACTTTTAAGTTTCACCACTGTAAGTAATTACTAGTCCTGCTATGATTTTGTTACTTACACACACAATCCCTCAAGTATCTGTGGGGTACTTTATTAGCAAAGATTACAACTCTGTTGAGTCCGATTTTGTGGTGAAAGGGGGAAAAAATAAGACATTAGGAACAAACATTTTTGAAGAGACGAAGGATATGACACAGATTGATGTTTTGAAAATAATTCTTTCCTGGTAGAATGATTTTTGTACGCAGGTGTTCATTGTCATTGTTTTGGCTGTGTACACTGTCAGTGCTCTGGCACACTGGATTAAAGAGCAGCAACTGAGGTCTGAATCACCAGCATTCAAGCCCATCAATGCTCACACTCATCCACTGACTGTTTCATACAAAGACCTGCAACTATGGGACAGGGCTGTTATCCGCTCTGAATTAAACTGAAAGACATTTTATAGATACCTGAGGAGGAATATGAATGTGTGTTGCACATCTGTCAAAACAAACATTAGTATTATTTAGTAATTGATTTAGTACAGGACTTTTAGTTCCAGGAACATGTTCAAAATATAGTACAAACTGAATAATATTGTAATATATTTCAATATGTACGCAATATTTTATATGAGAAGTTTAAAATATCAATATCAGAAAATACGTATATGTCATATATATGTATATTAGGGCCAGGAAAAAAAGAGGAATGAGCAATATATCGCTGTGCTGGCTGCTGTGATGACATTAAAGAATTGCTGGTGCTAAATAATGATATTGTATATTTAAAAAATATGGACTCTATAAACAGCGTGCCACTCCTCACGGCACTCATGACATGAATGAATGAGGGTCATGTACATGACGAATTTGACATTGGGATAAAAGAAGAATAGAAAACAGCGGAATAATGTTGGACAGCGATGAAGGATATTAAAAGAGAAACCAAGCGCCAACCTCTGGTGTTGAACGTGAAGCCAATACGAAAGTGCAAAATCCTGCAGTTTGTCGAGGGTCCGCTTGAGGCTGCAGAAGCGACCAAAGTCACATACACACCCATTCAGAAAAGCCTGTTTGTACTGTAGAAATGAACATGTTTACAGCCTGGTACAAACATTTTAAATAGGTCTGATTAGCTCATGTCTGACCGGCACACACTGTACGTGGGGCAACGAGCTTCAAAGAGCTTCCTAAACCCTCAGATGGATGACATCACTCAGGCTTTAATCATTCATATTTACAGACTGTGGGAGAAACTGACACCAGATAGCAGGGAATAAATACATTAATCCTGCATTCTCCAGTTAATCTGATATCAACTTTTGAATTGTACCGTATCATATCGTAATGTATTATATTGTAGCTTATCCTATCCTGAGTTAAACTCCTATAAATACATTATATTATTTGTCATATTATGTTCTATTAATCTATCGGTATAGAAATGTATTCTTTTTCGGATGTTTGTAAGCGAGCCGGTGAACGGTTTGCTTACAAACATTGCTGAAGCTCGAAAAACATAAGAAAATCTATAATCCGGTCAGTAGAAAATGTATTTTACTTTATTCTATAAGAGGGAAGAAATGCCTTCTACAAAAACTGATCTAAGGAACACCGCTACACACGTTTCTCCCCGATAACCTTCCGCGTTTCTCCGTCATGTTGTTGAGCTGATTTATTTTGTTGCTCTGTTTGTGGTGTGAGTTCGGAACTGCTGGGGTGTTTGATTGTTTGAGCTGCTTGTTTTTCCTAAAATGAGCCGCAGGAAGTCTTTCCTGTTTTGAATACACTATGAATAGAAGAGAAGTGTGTATCCTCGTGTGTGCGTTTGTGTGCGCGATGTCGACAGAGAGACGAAGACGGAGAGAGTCAAATGAATGAAAATTAAACAATAAATATGTTTCAATCTTCATTGATTGTATTGGTAATGATTCAACACATTTTTCCATTCATACAAAGACCCATATGCTTGAGGATGCAGATACAGTGATGCACAAAGTTACTCACACACAGTCAGCTGTTCATTGTGGTGCTGAAGTGCTGTGTTCTTCCTATTTGGTTTCTTAAAACCCTCCTCTTCATCCTCCTCCTCTCAGCCCCAGGAAACAGGACACAGTACACTTCCAGCTTCTGTTTCTCCCACTTCCAAGTGGAAGTAGGTATGTGGGAAGCACTTTTGTTGTGCGCGTGTGTGTGTGTGTGTGTGTGTGTGTGTGTGTGTGTGTGTGTGTGTGTGTGTGTGTGTGTGTGTGTGTGTGTGTGTGTGTGTGTGTGTGTGTGTGTGTGTTGGCACTAAGGTTCTGGAAACACAGACCTCCTGACCCCCTCATGCTCTATTCTGTCTCACACGTAAAAGAACTGTTTATATCATCAACATCAATCTGACCTGCAACCCCTGACAAAAACACTTCCACACATGCTCACACAAACACACTGAACCAGAACTACAAATGGGGACTCAAATACACCTGGCTTTCACACGTCTAATTAAAAAAAAACACAGTTTCATGTCTCTAAAGAAACTTGCTCACGCTCTGGATCAGTGGACTCAGATGGCCGTCGGCTGAGTGACTCTGAATCCACACAAAGTGAGGCTGATCGGGATGGAGATAAGAAAAACAAACCCCACAATACCAATTGATTTCGACACTTTTTCCTAACAATGAGTAACTGTAAACCATCAGCTTTTGCCCCCAAGCCCACCCGAGATGGATTAAAGTGATGGCATTCCTAAAAAAAAAAAAAAATAGCTGGAAGCTGTTTTAACACCATTTAGTTACACGAGACCAAAAAGATTTGATTCAGGCTTGTTTTTTTTCCTTTTCCACCTTTCTGCCCCATTTCTCCATCTGTGTCATGTGATACAGCTCAACTGCCTTCATCTACTTCTCATTTGCTATAGCTTGGTGTTATTCGCTTCTTATTGATATCGCTCTTTATCTCTTTGTGAGGGTGTGATTAGCTGTTGTGAAGTACAAAGTAGGAATTTACACTGTTTCACTCAGGAAGCAAGAATCTGATTTGGTAAGAGAAGACATTTTCACAGATGAGGGTATTTTGAATATTTTATTACAAACAACAGTGGAAACAGGCAAAGCAGCAAAAACAACACGTCTAACAACAGTTAAAAGAGAAACGTCACAGTCGTGAGCCAGCAGACTGCTCCTTACTTTCTCTGATATTTAGTTTAAACCTTCTTACACACAAACACACACTTATATTCACAGTATATACACACATGTATGTTCAGAACAAGCAAACACTAGCTGGAATGTAAACTGGACGACTCAGACTCAGTGGTGGTGGAAGTCCCGGGGCGTCTTCGAGGTAAAATCTTCAAACTCGACGCTCTGCTCAGCGTGAGTGCTCTGCGTGCCGAGCTCTTGAACCCAGCTCCTAGGAAGGCGTACAGCAGCGGGTTCAGGCAGCAGTGTGCGAAAGCCATGGGCTCGGCCACCGCCAGCCACACGCCCAACACGGCCTCCAGGCTGCAGCCATGGGGCAGCACCTCCAACCGCAGCAGAGCGTCCACAGAGATCCCCGCACCATACGGCAGCCAGCACACAAAAAAACATAGAACCAGTGCGATGGTAGTCCGGACAGCTCTACGCTTCTGCCTCTGACCCCCCAGAGGGCCCCGGGTCAGCCTGGTGACGATGACGCAGTAGCACACAAGGAGGACCAGACCAGGGATCACCAGACCCACCAGGACCAGCTGCAGGTGGAAGACTGCAACCCAGAGAGGAGCGTTGTTCTCAGGGTAGAACCGCTGGCAGACAGTGGCCCCCTCTCCCCCTTCCTGGGTCCGGGCGAAAATCAAGTCCGGCACTGCGAGGAGACAAGCGGGCAACCAGGCACCTTCAAGAAGAAAAGAAGATTAAAAAAAAAAGAAATAAGACAACGAAGGGGAAAATTGTGTAATAAAGAAGATGAATAAAAAGAACCTTGATAGAAACACTCACCCACATAGACCAGTCTGTGTGCCAGAAGCTGCCTCAGCCCACCCGTGTTTGTGTCCGTGGCTCGCACCACTGCCAGGTAGCGGTCCAGGCTGATGAAAGCCAGGATGAGCACACTGCCATACAGGTTGACTGTGTAGATAACATGAACACCAACACAAGTGACTGCCCCGAAGCGCCAGTCAGCCAGAGCTCCATCCACAGCCCAGAACGGTAGTGCCAAGACAAAGAGGAGGTCAGCTGCAGAAAGGTGGAGACGATATCGGTCTGTGAGGCTGCACTTTGACCTGGAGACAAACACAAGAAGACCCATTATTGAGATTTATTCAAATTACACATAATCAACAACCAACCCGTCACCTGTCTTCTCTTACCTGCGTTGGCAGCCGAGCACCACCACAACCAGGCCGTTCCCTGTGATACCCAGAGTGAAGATGAGGGCGTAGACCACAGGGAGGAAGACCCGCTGAAGGTCAGTAGTCATCACGTGCTCCACATTACACGGCTCCTCAAAATCCACACCAAGGTCCCCGGAACCAGAGCCTGAGCCGGTGTCATTGAAGTCGTCCTCCAGGAAGAGCTGGTGACAGACGAAGAAGATGACGATGATTTAGGATGAGGGGTGAAGATGGAACATGCCAAAAAGAAATTCTAAACTAAGGATGTCAAAATCCTTGATACTTTTCCGTACCATTCGTTATAAACAATGCAATCGATTTTATTTTTATGGCAAATAATGTTGAAAAGTTGAAAAATAAAACTTCAGATCTTCATACATACTTTTTAACAAACAGCTGCTGTGAGAGACAGAGAAAGAACGCTGTCTAAGTTGCAAAAATACACTGCCAACATATTTGGGTAATTAAGATAGTTATAGTGACCAAACTGACCAAAATTGGGTGCCTAGGACTTGAGATTTTGTTGCTGTGGTATCATTGATATTGTGTGATATTTGCTTAAAAATACAATGCCAACCCTTTCCTAAACACAAATTAGTGAATGGACTCCAGGTCTTACCTCATAGTACGACATGGCTGAGTTCCCTTTGCTGTGTGGATGAAGTGAAGCTCAGATTTCTGTCTGCAGGGCTTTTAACCCTGTTCATGCTCCTCCCCCAAACTCTCCACACATCTGTGTTCCTGCTGAAACGTTTTTCCTGTTTTCGAGGTGTCAGGTGCTGATAGTGGTTCTATCACAGGATACTGTGTGTGTGTGTTTGTGTGTTTGAATTGTTTTGGCCCTGAGACCTCTGGTTGGTGATTATCGCAAACTATTGGCAATAGGAGGCCTGCAGATGAGAATCAGACAATGTGTAATTTGTTTTTGAGAGCATTTCTCCACGCTCTGTTAGATCAGGACAAGCAGCAGGAGTTTAATCTCCAACTCTATCGCGAGGGAACTTGTTTTTTTGCGTCACTATTTGAATTGATGCATGTTTGCGTGATCATACATGAGAGCAGACACAGAGACGCAGGGAGAGATAAGGAATGTGTGATGAATCATTTATGTTTTAGTAACACCAAGACTCCTTTTATCTTTCAGTGTCATTCAATCATGACAGTTCGTGTTTGTGATGTAAGTCTGTCACCCCTCTGGAGTAAACTAATGATGTTTCAACACCAGTGTATTCAGGAGCACATCCCTGCATATGAACAGAATGAAATAAGAGACAGATTGAGAAAGACAAGGATACCAAACTGAATTTCAAAGATGCAACATGAAACTCAAGCCAGTAAACTTAAATATGACTTTAACGTTCCGATTGGTCACTCCATTTTCTTATTCTGTCTTTACAAACCATTCATGTAAAGAATGGTTATTTCAATTAACATATTTGTAAGTATATGGTTGGTTGGATAAATCAAAAGATGGGGTCTTATCTCACAAGTCTTTCTTTACATACAGCTCTTAACCCCTCACCCCTCACCCCTCTGGGTCACTCAAACCACAACATGCAGAGCCTGCAGCCCATTTACATACCTATAGTGAAGGAACAACCCCCCACTGCAGGGTGAATGTAAAGAAGTGATCGAACAGAAGCCACTAAAGGAGCAGATGGACTGCTTTGAAACGACTGACCCGGAAGTGCTGTGTACCACTTCCAACAGGAGTGTGAAGGAACTTGTTGTGTTTGCATCATTGTCTTAAATGAAGCATGTTAACATATATTAACATTACATTAACACACATGTGAGGAAGACACAGAGACTCAGACGCAGAAATGTGTGATGATTGTCTTTTTCTGTTCTCTTAAACACAGAGACCCCCTCGTGTCTTTCACTGTCATTGAACCAGGGCAGTGGGATGTCAGTCTGGGGATGCATTGAGAGGCCGTTTACACAGTACTGGGTGATCTGTGACGAGGGGACACCCTTTCAGTGCAGTACTTTGCATTAACAATGCGTCTTCATTGAGTACTTGAGAGCAGAACTGAGCGCTTTCACAGCACATCCTGAATGTGTCGTCGTTCTACCAGACAGGAGGCATCATTGTTCTCCTCTCTCAGAAGCCGTCTCAACTGGGAGCTGTGTAGGATGCACAAGAGTCTCCACTACAAAAGCAATGTGGATAAATGCGTATGTGGTATGGGCTTCCTCAGGACACATTGAGGAGTGTTCACACTTAACATTTAGGCAATATCAGATCAACCAAGTTAGTTTTTATTTTTATTTTTATATACTTAATTAATAAATTTGGGTTTACACTCTGTTATTTTTAGGGACATGCTACTCACACACATGGGCCCAAATCACACGCATGCACAAACAGGACCTGTGGACGTTCATTAATGTAGACATGTCAGAGTGGGGCTGCTACACAGGGAGTGCACCAGAGCAGTTTGGGAGTTTGGTGTCTTGCTCGAGGGCACATCGGCACCTCTCCAGCTACAAGACCAACTCCCATGTTGAGATGGCGACCCTCTGGTTCTCAACACAAGTCCCTACGTCTGAGCTGCTGCCGCCCATGTTACTGCAGGGTGTAAACAGCCTGTTAGGTCTGATCACTCAGGCCACATATGGAGGAGGTTTCGGGACGCATTTGTCCACATTGGTTTGGTAGTGTTAACGCTCATGCGTCCTGGCACACATTAAGGACTCCCCCCTAAGTGACAGGATCTGAAGTACTGAGACAACATTGCTTCCTCCAAACGTATTTAAAACATATTTTGTCTTTAGATGGAAATAATGCACTGGTTCTTATCGGCATGTGCGGCAGGCAAGTGAGCTCCAAACACAGGTGGTCAGTGGAGACACATTGTTAATGTAAATGTGAACGCTCTTACTCCAGTGCTGTCCACTTGAGAACAGATCCCTGAAACCACATGCTGGTACCTGGTCTGAACAGGGGCTGACTGGGAGGTGCTGTGTACCACTTCCCACCTGAGTGTGGATGAACTTGTTCTTTGTGTCGCTGTCTGAAATTACGCATGATTGTGCATGAGAGGGAGACACACGTAGACGCCGGGAGACGAAGAGGAATGTGTGATGATTATCATTTCTCTTTAGCAGAAGGGCTCCTTAATAACTTTCAATGTCACTGAACCAGGACAGAGTACGTTTTTTGTATTAGTTCGTCACCTTGTTGAGAATAAATAACTGTTTCAACACAACACTTGTAGGAGCACATCATTTAGGGTGCTACTACTTTTGAAGTGTGATCCTGGACTTTAAGATTTATAATGACTTATTAAAGAAAGCTTTGGAGAAGACAAATATATAAAACTAAGTTTTTATTTGAGTTGCATCACACACCTCAAAGTTGAATTTACGACTAGTCTTACTCCTTGTTCTGCTTTCAAGTTGGGCCCATTTAATTTTTTAAAATGAACACAAAATATATTTTAAAATGTTAACAATTTGATCAACCTGGTGCAATAGGGCTATGTGCAATCACACCAGCACTTTAAAATTACAGGCTCCAGGGCAAATGAGCAATTACTTCACAATCATGTGCACTTTTGCACTTTAATACTCCGGCACTTCACCTCCCGTAGCAGCACTTTAAGCATGACATTCACTTTGTACTGATTTGTTCTGAAAAACATCACAAAGCCCCTTAATATGCGTGTAGAAATGTGTCTGTGTCAACTAATGTAGAGTTTATGTTGTTGGGTTTTTTTCTTGTTATTGTGGTTTTATGTAAATGATGTTTTTAACATCAACCTGTCAAGGGACAACAGATGGAAATCAACTATCTGGTATTTACATGTTTATGTTCATTATTATGGACTGTAAAATGAATAAAATAAACATTTATTATTTCAGCTACTTTGTCTATCAAACTAACAATATTGTTTCTTCTATTTAAAGTTTTCATTTATTTCTTGAATAGCAGCACAGAGATACAGAAGGAGCTCTGATTGGCTGTTTACATGAGTCTGACATATCAGAGCTCCAGTTGCTGTAAGGATTTCACCTTATTTTCAGTTGATAATCGATCTTAGTGTAACCCATTTGTAATCAAAATCGTAAATGGATAAAGCAAGAAACGAATCAATTGCAACATGGAATACAAAAGGTAATGTGTTATTCGAGCCAGACCAATTAATTGGCCAGCCAATGAGTGACTATTAATCTCCGATATGTGCTGATATTATTTACTCACCTGTCAAATAGCACATTGTTTGAGTTTAATTATATTACACCAGCAGTTCTCTTACATCTGCATAGTTTGCTGTTTACATTAGACAAAGAATTACCTCTCTCCAGAATGTCAAGCAGTGACACACATATATGTACAGTTACTTTCCAGTTGAGTGAACAGCTTGTCCTCATTACATCTTTTCCACAATTGTACAATAACTGCATTTGGGTAATCAAAACAATAAATGTGTGTGCATATATCTATCTAGTAGATTGGCAAATATAAAGGTATCAGATTTTTCCCCTCCCTTACATCGGTATTGGACCCCAAAATCCCATATCAGTCTGGCCCTATATTTTATATTATCCAACTCTTTTAGTGAAAAACTCAAAAACTGAATTTCAATGCCATTTCACATAATCCCTGTATGAATTGATAATAAATCAACTCCATATTCCTCATTTTTCCTAGTTAGAAATTAACAATTCTAACTTTAAATCCCCCTCGTCCTCTCCCAACACATTAATCCCAGAAGTAAACAGAGACATCCTCCGACACACAGCAACACTTTCAAACCGTCAGACTGAGCCTCTTATCTCTGTCTTTTTTTCACCCCCTTCCCCCACACTCTCTACTATCAGCACAAACATCTCAAAAATAACATTTCTGTGTAAAACCCCTACAAAAAGAAACAAAACTTCCTGCTTCGTCTTAAACATAATAGTAACACGGTAAAGCTGCTTCTTGAAAAGGAGCCTGTACTGACAGATATAATTGGGGGTAATGCAGCTGAAGGTTTTGTATGAGTGGTCAAGTCATCTCTGATATACAGGAAGCAGACAGGTGTAAACAATCCCATTGGTTAAAGCCTGCACCCTGTTTAGATGTAACCTGCTTTGTGCAGGGATTTGTGGAAACTGGGTTGAAATGATTGCTAAAATAATTTTAACAACTTTTCCTGCAATAAAGTCCAGTTCATTAGAATAATGTGAGAGCTGGGCCCAAGCATGGTGCACTTCCTTGGAAGAAGTGTGCTTTGGCATGGTACAGTTCATGCACAAGCACAGGCACACAATGAATCAGTCAAGTAACTGTCATGTTCTCCGTGTTCTCTGATGTGTGGACGCAGACCCGAGTCCCTTTAATTTTTAGGGCCCCGCTACCACAACAGCTTTTTCCCTGCTGCCGTGAGACTTGTAGCGCGGGACATTAAGATGGGAAGGAAGTAACTTCAACCCACACCTCACGGACTAAATGGACAGTTGACCACCTCACAGTGCAATACAAGTGTAAAACATTAACCTTAAAAACAAAAAACAGTGCAAGTATGATGTGAAAAATGTGTGCAATAACCTCAGGTGCAATAAGAGATGTAGAAAGTTAGAGACAAGAAAACATATTTATATTTTCATTTCATTGTGCAGTGTTCCCCTTTGTATTATATCTTTGCTTTAATACAGTGTATAGCTTCTGTACAGTTTATTTTAAATCACTTAGCTGTTAC